GCTGGTCGTGAAGCTTCCTGAGCTAACCTCCGCTTTTCATAATGCGCGTAGATCAGCGGTGCGGATGCTTTCAAATCTGCGCCTGAAATCCACCGAGTGTCGTCGCGATCGCATGCTTTGAATGTGACTTTGTACTGCCGCAGCTTGCTGCCGTACTTGCGATCGGAGATGACGCGGTCAACTTCCTGATGGCCATCCATAGAAGGAGGGTCCTGCGATCGTCGGTCCAGGAAGTCGTCGCTCTTGGTTGGCGTGTATGTTGCCAGCTTCGAGGCGTGGAAGACCGGATGGACCGTCAGATGATCTGGAATGTTGATCACAAATGAAGGGTCATCGGGCTCATCGCCCGCGGCTGCTGTCGCCGACCAAGGTCCAAACCACTTGGGAAGCAGTTTGCGTGAAACATCCTGTTCCAGTGCAAACTCTTCCGCGGAGACCCAAACCAGATCACCGGCACGGATGGGACATGGTACGTGACGCCTGTTGGCTTGCTGCTGCATGCGGACTTGAGCCTTTTGCATATTTGCGTTGGCTTGAGTCAGCAATTCCCTGTACTTCCGGACGGAAGCGGGAGAGCAGGCAGCGTCAATGTCGGCTGGTCGGGGGAGGAGAAGGTCGGCAAAGATCCGGCCTTTCCGTCCACCGTGGTGCAACTCGAATGGAGTCACGCCGATCGCCGGATGCACCGAAGTGTTGTAGGCGAACTCGATGTCGGGGAGGCGGTCAACCCAATCTTTCTGGTCCGGACGGATGAGCGTACGAAGCATCATTTGAGCGGTTTGATGTGCCCGCTCCGTCTGGCCGTCTGTCTAAGGATGCGGAGCCGAACTTGGTTTCATTGTTGTGTCGGACTCCTGCATGAGAGAAGTCCAAAACGCCGACATGAAACGAGTGTCGCGGTCGCTGACAATATCTTCTGGTACACCGTGGCCACAAATCCAACCAGTGTGCAGGAGGCGTGCCAGCTCGGGAGCCGTGGAGTAGTACTTGCAAGGGAGAAAACGCACGTACTTACTCAATCGGTCCACAACCGTGAGGATGTCGTCGTGCCCGAGGGGATCGCGAGGAAACGGACCGGTGACGTCCATGGCGATAGAGAGACCGGGTTCCCGTGGGATAGGCATCGGGTGTAACTCGCCGTAGGGATTGCGGTTGCGGGGCTTGCTGCGTCGGCAAACTTCGCAAGAGTCGCAATACCGAGTGACATCGGTAATGAGGTCGGACCATCGGAATCCGTGTCGAGGCCGTGCAATAGTGCGGTTGACTCCGAAATGGCCGGCGAGTCGTGAATCATGATACTCGCCGAGGAGGCGAGTCCGAAGACGACGATCGCGTGGGACACATAGTAAGTCCTTGCCTCTCGAGTGGAGGAGCAAGTACCCGTCGGCAATGCGGAAATGGCTGGCCGGCGGGTGATCCGAAGATAGCTGTGCATAGAGTGTGTCGAAGTTCGGATCAGACTGATATGCCCGGATGAAGTGTCGTTGAAGCTCCTCGTCGAATGCGAAGGCATGATGTATCTTAGCGCAAAGATCTGGTCTTCGCGAGAGTGCATCTGCTACGCGATTGGAGAGGTCGGGGACATGTTTCGGTCTGAAGTCAAATTGGTCGATGAAGTACATCCATCGTCCGATCGTGCTGCTCACCGTGTCCTGCGTCTTGTAGTAGGTCAATGGATTGTTGTCTGTGACCCATGTGAACCTACGACGCCCAAGGAGGAAGTGTCGCCAGCGCTTGAGAGTCATCACGAATGCGAGCAGCTCCTTCTTCCTTGCATCATCAAGCGAGTTGATGAGAGGCACTTTGTGGCTGAAATACTCTACAGGGTGCCAGTCGTCGCCGTCGTGTTGTTCCAAGATTGCCCCAATGCCATAGCCGGAAGCGTTCGTAGTCACTCGCGTCGGCAGGGTGGGGTCATAGATGCTAGTAAGGACGGGTGCCATAAGCATAGCCGTCTTACGTGCTTGGAATGACCGGCGTGCGTCGTCATCGAATACGAATGGCACCTTTGGCGACTGTAACCTCGTCATAGGTGCAGCAATCCTAGAGTATCCGGTGATGAATCGCTGATAGTAGCCCGCCAACCCCATGAATGAACGAACGTCCGTGGTGTTCGTGGGCTCGGGCCATACTCGTAGGGCCTCGATCTTGTCCGCAAGCGGACGGATGCCTTGCGGCGTCACATAGTGTCCCAAGTACTCCAGCTCCTGTTGTGCGAACTCGCACTTGTTGCGGTTTGCTTTGTACTTGGCTTGTCGTAGCCGCTCCAAAACGGTGCGCATGTGTTCCACATGCTCGTCCAAACTCCGGCTGTAAACCAGAATATCGTCGAGGTAGATAAGTATGAAACGATCCAGCATGTGTCAGAACTCCGTCGTCATAGCCGCTTGGAAAGTGGCTGGGGCATTCGTAAGGCCAAATGGCATGACCAGCCATTCGAAATGCCCATACCGTGTCTTGAACGCGGTCTTGTAGCAATCCGCCTTTTGAATCTCGAGTTGGTGGTACCCTGACTTGAGATCCAGCTTAGAGAAGAACTGGGCGACGCCCAATCGCTCGAGAAGGTCGTCGATGCGTGGGAGACGGTCGGCGTTCCTTATCGTCTGCGCGTTGAGCTTGGGATAATCGATGCACAATCGCGGGTCCTTGTTCTTCTTCCGGATGAAGAGAACAGGAGCACCATATGGCGATGAGCTAGGCCGAATCCAGCCTTTCTCTAGAAGGTCGTCGAGTTGTGCCCGAAGCACACTTAACTCTTCCTCGCTCATTCGGTAGATGCAACCGCACAGAGGTACGGCCCCGTCCTCGAGGATGATCTCGTGGCGGATGGGTCGATCCGGTACTACTYCGTGCGGGCCTTCGAACACGTCGCTGTAGGCGTCGAGAAGTTCGGTGATGCGTTGATCCGAAGGTGAGTCCGTCGATGAAGCATCATGGGGCGGGAGGGCGTGGAGAAAACACACCCCCATCTCCTTGATGTCGTCTCTGATGATGGAAGCTCGCATGCTTGTGGCGGATACCGCGTGGTAGCTGATCGAAGGATGAGGAAGAGGCACCATGCATGGAACTAGTACTCCGTTTCGATCACGGATGTGAACGGTGCGGTGGAAGAAGTTCACCGGGTGATCCTCGCTTCGCAGCCATGACATGCCCAAGATCATGTCGAATTTGGTGTCCAGAATGTCAAAGGACACCGCCTCACTTGCGTGAGGGGCAAAGTACACTGGGACGGCGTCAATGCACCGGTCAATGGACTTGTGCGTATGACCGTCTGCCAGAGTGACTTGCGTAGGCTGGGACTTCCTCCGGACACGTGGGCCAAGGTCGGCGCGTACCATGAAGTCCTGGCTGATGTTGTTGCGAGATGCTCCGCAATCGATCAAGGCACTGCAGGTCGCCTCTCCGATCTGAATGCGTACATATAGCAATGGTGCGTCGATGTCGTCGTACCGTTGCGTCTTGAACTCGCGGTCGATCTTCGCGATGTCAGCGTGAAGGTCGACAACCTCTGCTCCGGCGTCCATCAACGGAGCTGGTACTGCAGTGTGCAAGTAGTCCCGCAATTGTGCCATAAGCACGTTGCAATGCGGATTCGGCAATCGTCCGGTCAAGGGAATGGGCATCCACTAGAAGTCCGTGAACGTCAATGGGTCGAGCTCTTCAAGTCTTGACCATGACGTCGAATCCCCGGCGATAGATTGCGGCGAAGCTGCCGAATCGGTTGCCGATGGTGATGAAACCGTGCATGTGGGTGGACTGTTGCACGTGGAGCGGTTGGTCCAGCGGTGGAACCAAGTGGACAGCATAATCCTCGTAAGTATACCAAGGACTTGCAACATTCGCATCCTCCCCAGATGTGCATGAGGCCGCTAGCAAGGCGGCCGAATCTCGCGGAGTAGAAGGTGGAGTCCCCTCACCTTCCGCGGAGCTCAGTTTCCTGAGCTGAGGCGGGGTCGCACATCCTCCTTGCCCTGATCTTGGCACAGGGAGGTCTTGTGCTTGGTGTTGTTGCACCAGTAGCAGCTGCCGTAGCGGCCGCGGACCTTGTACCCCGCCTCGGTCAAGCCAAACTTGACCCATGGAAAYTGTCCTGGCTATCCATTTCCGGCCTGCGATGCGGATTTCGCCTTCCCATTGTTGCGGGACTTGTTGTTGCTTCGCGGCTGGACAGCAGCCACCTGATCTCCGTCACTTGATGCTGGAGTGGCTGCTGGGTTATCTCCACTGTCCTGGTGGACTGCAGCGAAGTGCTGCTGTCGCGGACCAGTTCGTACCTTCTTCACATAGGTCGGCTGCCATGGTGACTTCTCGTGTGCAGCTGACCTGTTGGTCTTGATGATGTCCCTTGCTTTGTCAATAATCTCAGCAAAGGTTGAGTACTGCTCGCGATCACCAAGAGCCTGGCTCAATGCAGCGTAGGACCTGTTGTAGAACTCACGTCTGAGATGAGTGAAAGGCAGCTCCAGATTGGGCACTGCCGCAATCTTCTGCCACTCTGTGAGCCAATCCCGTGTTGCAGTGTTGCCTTGTGACATGGTGAACAAACGGTTGATGGCGAGTGTCGGCGCGTCATCGACTATGAACCGCTTCTTCCACAGCCGTGTCAGTTCCTCCCATGTGATTTTGTCCTTCAAGTCCGGTACGTCGACGCCGTGGGAGGTTGCCAAGTGGGTCAACCAGGTCTGGCATCCGCCCTTTGAGTTCAGGAACAAGGCGTCGAAGTGCGCATGCTTGGCTACGGGCAGAATCCTGACTTGCGTTGTGAATGCTTCCAACCAGAGGACCGGATCCTGCTGCGTGTAGTCGTCGAACCTCTCCAGGTTGAAAGTTGGCATCTTGTACATCTTCGGATTGTCGTCCGCGTTCGTCGACTGCAGCTTCTGGACCTCGGTCTTCAATGTATACAGCTGACTGCTGATGGTGGTGGTCGGCGCAGCGAAAGTGCTGATGTCGCCGAGCATTGCCACTACGTGGTCAACGCGGTCCTCCAGTTGGCGGCTAGAGGGTGCACTGCTGGAAGCCCCAACAGCTGGTCCTGGTGCAGTCTGTTCCAGGTCCAGCAATCGGGCATTGAGTACCCGAGTTGCATCCTCGTGGCTCTGCACCATGCGGCGGAGCTGTGCCAACTCCTGATGCTGTTGCGTCAGGTCCTGGTATTGTCTCTCCAACTCCGACCGTTGGTAGTTGCAAGCATACAACAACCGCGTCACGAGTTTGGAGAGGAACTCCTTGTGCTTCTCTTCCGGTGTTGCCTCGTCGCCGTTCGGTTCAAAATGTCAGTACTTGAGTCTGTCGATGTTGTTGGCTTCATGCCGCTGCAGCAGATCCTGGGCTTCCTTGCGGCGAGCCTGAGCATCTGCATCTGCATCGGCCTGTAGCTGCAGTTATTCTGCTGTTGCTGCCTCTTCAGCCTGTACGCGGGCAGCCTCGGCTGCCAGCTGGCGTTGTTCCTCAGCCTCTATCTGAGCCTGGAACCGCTGCTTGTAGGCTGCAAGAGACTCGTTGGGCAGTTGGCCTGGCAGACCCGTCATGTTGCTGACGTGGCACTGCTTACGTGGCACTGTGTCTGACGTGGCACTGCGGATGTGGCACTGCTTACGTGGCACTATGTCTGACGTGGCACTGCTGATGTGGCACAGCTTACGTGGCACTGTGTCTGACGTCACTGCTGACGTGGCACTGAGTCTAACGTGGCACTGTGACCTGGCACTGCTGACGTGGCACTGAGTCTAACGTGGCACTGTGACCTGGCACTGCTGACGTGGCACTGCTGATCTGGCACTGTGACATGGCACTGCTGATGTGGCACTGTGACGTGGCACTGCTGATCTGGCACTGTGACGTGGCGCTGCTGACGTGGCACTGTACCGAACTGGGATGCATGCAAGGATTGGGTGGGAGGGAAAACGTAGGTAGGTAGCCAACCCAACAATACTTTCCTCCGGTCCTAATCAACAGATAAAATAAAAATAAAAAAATAAAAGAGGACTACTTCCTTTTTTTTTATATATATATCTATCGATTTATGATGAGTAGGATATGTCAGAAGAGTATTATGAACGAGATCTAGGCTAGGTGCCGCAAAGTTTTGGCTTTTACAAACTGCGATCTTGAAAAAAAATTGCGAAATGGAGTAAAGATGCGATTTTCATAAAAGAACGAAATCCAGTTTCTGAGAATATAGCAACCTCCGAATATGCCTAACGCAATATTGGTAGGCTTCGCAAGATTCGGTTTTCAAAAACAAAATTTTGCGAGATAGAATGGAAATCCGATTTTCAGAAAAGAATAATTTCAGTTTCCGAGAATATGACCTCTTCTATCGTTATCCCAATATGCCTAGAGAAAGAAAATACTAACTTCATAAATTTCAGCTATGTATGCGAAATATCAGAGAAACGAATTGCCACGATCGGGAATTTTCAGACAAAATGAAATGCGATTTATCAGAAATTTTCAGATATTTGTCACGTAAAAACGAACTACTAATATCAGAAATTTTCAGATAGAACGAAAATGCGAATACCAGAAATTTCAGATAGTTGTTGCGAGAAAAAAAAAATTCAGAGATTTGACTAAGTCCTACTTGCGTTACTAATGAGTGATCAATAGATCGCAACCTGGCTACTTGATTGAGTGGCCTCTGAATGAGAGGTCCGCTCCGATACCAAACTGTTGCATACTGTAACGTGCAGACCAGAACAAGAACCGACCTTTCAATACAAAGTACAAGATAACACAGCGGAAGACTTAGATACCAGTGATCCGAACAATCAATGTTGTAATGCAGCCCTGAACATATATCATCATCATCGTTACATGGTGTGAATGGGTCTGGCACTTCACACAGGAAGACAGCGCCAGCCCATACCATACACAGACGAAGAGGAAGGGGATAGACGAAGAGGAGGGGGAAGATGGGAATGTCGTCAACACCAAGTCTTCGGCACAAGCCCAAATAGTCCCTCGTCGAAATGTCTGAATCTCAAATGTCAAGTCTGGATCCAATGTCGTCAAGTCTCAAGTCACAACTCTGTCTCTCTCTGTC